AAAAAAAAAAAAGAAAAACAACCCACTTTTAAAAGAAGACATGCACACATGGCCAATAAACATGTGAAGACACGGGGCAGACATTGGGGGCGCACACATTCAAAAAGAGGCGCCTTCACCCCAAGGTCGGCTAAGCTAGGAAGTGGATGCAGGTAACAGTGCCCCTCTGGGAGGACTCTGGTGTGTCCTGAAGAAGCCAGACAGCATTCTGGTCCCGAGTCTCTCCCTCTCAACCCCTGGGTTCCAACAAGCAGAGCAGGAACTGCCACAACCCCTTAGTTCCACCGGCTTTGTCCATGGCACAGAAAGCTCTGTGAGGCCAGGGCCCTGAAGTCTCCTGAAGGTGCGCTGTGCGACTAGTGGTTTTCCATAAAATTATTAGACAAAACACCTGAGATTGGGAGTGTAATGTCAAATATGAGAAACAATAGATAATCGTCAAGAATTGAAGAAAAAAACCCGTTAAATACCTTTGTTCTTAAGAAGTTATTACATTCTTGCTCCACGTTGTAATTTATAATCCGCGAGACTTCCTCCTGCCAAATCTTCAGCCCATAGATGCTGACGTAGTCCTGGATGTACTCAAAGGACCGGTGGAACCCATCCATGGTGGCTCCCAGCTCTTTCAGCTTGGGCATCAACTCGCTTGGCTACACAGGACAGGAAAACTGTCAATGACACTGACACCTACATTAAATGACACACTAAGAGACATAACCAAAGCTTTAGAAAGCCTTCCTTCTGCAGCGAGGCTGACTGACAGTACTGTTAGACACTCAGCCAAGACTAGACTACGCTCATTTGAGAAGAAAGGTTTACACGAAGGATATTTGGGTGAATACTGATGACTTCACCAGGATTAGCTAGCTGACGGACACATCTGACATTATACTCCTAACACTTAAGTTGAATTTACTGAAGTGAACACATTGTGTGCAAAGATTTCAGACTGACTTATTTTTCTCTTTAAAACAATCACCATACTTTTAAATAGATAATGCAAACGTCAATAAAATTAGTTTCCATCTGCTTTATGGTACACAAGCTCTTTGACAGTAAGTAATTGAATCGTAAGTATCAGTTCAGTTCTTAAACACGAAGGAACGGGGGGGGGGGGGGAACTGGTTTTAAAGGGGATTTTCTCATGCGTGGATTATGGAAGGATCAAAAGCCTGCCAGTTGTTGGCACCACAGGTCACATACTGGAAAGGCAGGAGACAGAATGGCCTATTTTGTTAGGAAGGTGTTCTAGTGCCCACGTGAGCTGAGTGACAGATCCATTCTGGGCACCGTACCTTGGCCCGAGGGTTGAATATCAGGCCTCTGTGGAGGGCGAAAGCAACTCGCTTAACCAGCTCTTTCCTTATTCCATCTTCCAGCAGCTGCTTGGGATCCACCTAGGTGCAAACCAAAGGCATTCAGCGCAGTCAGGAAAGCAGGGCAGGCCGCTAACGAGTCTGCAGTGTAGCACTTCCCACTTGGTCTCTAAATGATTTAGATTTTTAAATTTCTGCCCTTACTCCATTTTTCACAGGGTACCCTGAACCTCCACAGGGTGCTGCTCTTCTCACTAAGTTTCCTCATAATTTTACAACATATCACAGAGAAGGCA